CAAGTTGAAGTTAAATTCAGGGCCAACCCTGAGAATTTAGAGGCCCTAGGCAACTAATTATTATGAGGCCCTTCAATATAATCATTTTTTCACAAGTGTAACATAATTTAAATATTTAAATAATTAACACTTTAAAAAAAAGAAGAATTTATATGATTCAAAAGATAAAGTAGCAAACTAAGACTTTTCTCACAACTTGAGATATTAGACTAGCATAACATTTAACATTCTCACATTTTGCGATGTAAGCACTCTCTTAAAAGACTAATAGGTTGCCAGGTTACACAACAAGTTTAAATCACAAGGGCAATCATGATCAAAAGACTGTTCTTGAGAATTAAAGAATGGACTTGAACATGTTAGTACAAAAAGGTAAAGAACACCATAATCTTTTTTCACTTTCGGCCTATTTCTGTGATCAGAACAAGAACAACTGAGATTAATGAGTATCACAACCAGATTGGGCATTGATTACATTTAAATGTATAATGATATAAATCATAATGAAACATTGCTTTCTGGCCAGCAGACATATCTGACCACTGACTACCAAAGCTAAATTTATCACATTCAACATTTCCAATTTCTGTGTTTGTTTGACTAACGGGAGACGTACCCGCAAACTAGAATCGGAAAAGAAAGTAATGTTTGTCAATGAATATCTATTTTAATTTGATTGAAACATTAAAAATGTGAACAAATTTTTAACACAGAGGTTTTAACAAGCTTTGAGCCTGCCCTGTTGTGCAAAACGAGTTTTTTTTTTCAAATATAGACATGCATATAAAACACATATTCAAAGGACAAAATATTTCAAATATATGCATTTAAGAGTGATACCGTGCTTCCCCATCGATCATGGGGGTTGACCTGATCCATGTTCTTAAGTAACACCTTGGTTTGGCCGGATAGCATCGGAATTGACAGATTCCAGGTTCTGGTCATATGATTTCGCATCAGAGGCCCCCGAGCATTTTAGATCCATATTGAAGTTGATTGAAACCAGATTGGGGATCAACTGCTCATCGTTTTTCCTAATTGGCTAGTTACCCGTCATCTTATGACCTCCAATCGACGAGATGGTCGAATTAACAGGGAAGACTTCGACAAAGTCGTGAATTGGAGCATAAACATGTTCCTTGCGCGGATGAACCTGGGCAGTTTCAATCTTTAATAAAGGCTTCCTCGCAGTAAATGTTTGTGCTGTTGGTATTATGGGGTATATAACTGGAGGGTTTTAGTGGAGAAGATGGAGAAGTTGGACGGGGTTATGGAGTGGTGCATGATGGTATGTTGAGTGATGGATATGGGCCAGGGATTAATGGCTACTTGTGGTTGTTTGTGAGAATGGGCCTCTCGAATGTGACTTTTGGTATGGCTTTGATAGAAAATCTCTTTTCTCCTTCATCTTCTACCTTCACTTTTGAGGATCCACAAATGTTTCTGGTCGTTTTTGGCTCCAGCTGTTGCTGATTTTCCTGTTCTTGTTCCTCATCTGAGTACTGGTAACTCGGAGGAGGACATGAGCGGTATTTACCATGACTTTTGGTAGCGGTTCCCACAGACGGCGCCAATGATGATGCCAAAAATCGTACATCTTGATCCCGAACTTGACGCCTGAGAACAAGCACGAAAGAGGCCTTCTGATACCTGAAACAAAGGCGCT